CTGTAGCATCGACGTGTCTTCGTGATGGAGAACCCTTCAAACGGCTTTTGCATTGAACTTTTTGGATGCTATTCAAGGGAACTTTATAGATTCCCGCAACTACTGCCATGGTGGAGGTCAAGACAAACGCACGCGATTCTGGGGCAACAAGAAGTGGATGGAACCACTGGGTTGAAATGCAAGGATCTCATTTACACCAAAGGTGGAAACCCCGTATGCAAGAGGGCAAACGGGTCTTTTCAACAGCTGAAGGGGGCAGCATACCCTTGGCGGCTTTGGACCAGTATAGCAACTGTTGCAACTCAAATGGGAAAACAGTTGGGAGCTGTCATGCATGGCAACCCTGACTCCCAAGCCGAGCATCTTGAAATTTCCATGCTGAATAGAGACATTTTGGAGCCTTGTTAAGGTTTTGTGGTGACCCTGACATAACCTGTAGACCATGTCAACTCAGTTTTCCAGTTACGCCCCAAGGGCTCAAAAGTGCTGTCCCGCAGACTCTGGAAGTGGGGCAATTTTCGGGCGGAACAATTTGCAGGGCAATGTCAACTTTTAGGTTTGATGGAGCAGGAACTGAGGGATGATACGACAGTGGAGTGCCATCACGTGGGAACTCCACACGAACCACTGAACTATCTTGAAGAAGCTTTAGCTGTTAGTCGTCCGAAGGACCTGAGGAGACATGTTGATCCTGCGTTACATGGAGTTATTTTAGAGAACTTGCATAGGCCACCTCACCTCCGGGCACAACGCCATATCGACTTCTTGAAGAAATATACCCAACTGGTGCAACAATGCAAGCCAGAGGAAATGAGGCTGAGATTGAAATGCCAGCGCACTTGCGACAGACTTGTTGGGAAAAGCCTAGTTTATTCGGACGGGTGCTATCTGACTTTGGTTATCAGGACAAGCGCATTGTAGAGGATATTGCTTCCCGTTTCAAGTTGAGTGGATGGATGCCAGCTTCTGAACTATTCCCGCGTCAATTTAGGAGAAGCGAATTACAACAGAGCCTCGAGGACATCATTCAGAGGGGCGACATCACGCCAAAGGAAGCGGACAGGGCCAGAGGACGAATGATTTTCTTTGAATGTGTTAGTTTTGGCGGGATAGCTAATCTGGACTTGGAGCTGTTTGGAGACCTTTGTAGAGCTGGGCGGACTACTAGCACACTGTCAGTGGGCGAGATTCAGGTAATACAGCACTCCTGTCAAAGAGTCCAAACTGGTACAGCAATGTCCATGGAATCCAAAATTTTGGAAACCCGCCTTATCTTTACAGATGGAGCCCGTGAAGGAGATGTGCCACCAGGTAGCATAGGAGGCGTATGGTTGCCCCTAATCACCGGGTGGTACATCACTTCGGGTGCCTAGCACCGGACAATGGCATGTCTTTGTGGCTTGATCATTCAAGCCAACCTATACTCGAGTGGACATGACCCCCATTCTTGTCTCTTCCCAGCTTTTGAGAGACCTTTTTTCCAAAGCTGCCAAGTAGTGTGTTGTATAGACAACGAGTCAGCACGCATGGCCTTGATTAGAGGTTGTGGTGAAATTCCAGTTGCAAGAATGGTGGCTAACTCCACCATGTCTGCTGAGTTAGAAAGCAGAACCAAGTCTTGGTATGCTAGAGTTGCAAGCCAAAGCAACATAGCAGACGCACCGAACTGCCTAGCCTTCGATCAGTTGAATTCCCTTCAAAGCACCTTTTGTGCGGTGGACTGAAACGTTGAGCTCACGAGTTGCACTCCTTGGACAGGGGGATGAAGACGGAACTCAGAGCTGGTTTGTCCCCGCTGAGAAAAAGAAGGCTGCTGATTTCGGAAGTGGATCATTCAAAATTCAATTGTGCAGATCGAACAGGCGATGGCGTGCGTATCTTTTTTTTGATATGAATACTCGTATACTATGATAAGCGTAGTATATGTATATTTTACTTTCATCCTGTGACGGGTTGTGTTGTTATTCGGTTGACTTTGTGGTTACGCGAGCTCCTCCCTCCTGGTTACCCCCTTTAACCTTTAGGAATAAGGGTCACCTCCGTCAGAGGTACGAGGTAAGGATTGTCCCTTTATTCCAAATAAGGTTTCATGCCTTTGGCCCTTTGTAAGGCCAAAGGCTCTGGGGTAATCTGGAGGTATTGTCTTCTAGGCTTGGCGTAACTCTAATCTAAGTGTCAACCTTCACAACAAACAACCTAAATCCAAACCTGTTAACGTCCTTGTTGTCACGCGTTTGTGTTCAGTGTGCAATGCTCATCGGGATGTTCTCACATCAAATTTTGTCTCAGTTTTTGCAGTGCTGTGAACACACCTCTGTTCTTATCAGTGTGACAACTCTGAATTTCTGGACGTGTAACAATTTGGTTTAAGTGGTGGGAGGGTGGGACCCTCTTTAGTTGCGGCATCCCTATTTTCTTTTCCCCACCCTAAACCGTTCGGTTTTTCCCGTCCCTAAGGGATGGCCTAACCCTACCGTCGATGAAGACGGAACTCAGAGCTGGTTTGTCCCCGCTGAGAAAAAGAAGGCTGCTGATTTCGGAAGTGGATCATTCAAAATTCAATTGTGCAGATCGAACAGGCGACGGCGTGCGTATCTTTTTTTTGATATGAATACTCGTATACTATGATAAGCGTAGTATATGTATATTTTACTTTCATCCTGTGACGGGTTGTGTTGTTATTCGGTTGACTTTGTGGTTACGCGAGCTCCTCCCTCCTGGTTACCCCCTTTAACCTTTAGGAATAAGTGCCCAGAGAAGTCCGAGCGCTTGATCCCCACAATTTTGTTTTCTTCACAGATGCTTGCTACGAGAAGGACCGGGTTGACTGGCCCTGCGGAATTGGAGGTGTCTTCTTTTGCCAAAATGAGGTGCAATTCTTCTCTGTAAAGGTCGGACCTATGGTCAGGAAAAGCCTTGGTGAGCCGCACAGAAAACAAATCATCTTTGAGGCCGAAACATTGGCAGCGGTGGTTGCGTTCATGTTATGGGCTAGCCGATGTGAAAACAAAAGGTGCATTTTGTTTGTAGACAATGAAGCGACTAAGTTCTCATTGTTGCGTGGCTCATCTGACAACAGCGTAGTGGATTTTCTGGCTGAACAGTTTGTTGAGATGGAGGCTCTCGTTCACACCTTCACCTGGCTAGCACGAGTACCTTCAAGTTGCAACATCGCAGATGCTCCCTCAAGAGGTGATGTCAGTAGTTGTTTGTTGCATGGAGCTGTTGATATTTCTGAAGAAGCAGAAACGCTGATGGAAGTGCTGGCGTCGAAGTTGCTGAAATTGGGGAAGACTGGCTTCGACGCAATCCCAGCTTCGAAAAAGATGAGAGTGTCAGCTGTGACTTGAACATGGTTTGCAGAAGAAGTTTCTTGTCACGTGTGACTAGCTCTTCTGAATGCAAATGCAGTGCGCCTGTACTGCAAATGTTCTCTCAAGTGGAGGGCTAGGGTGGGTTCACCGCTTCGTTTTGTGCGAAATGACCCACCATCCACCCCATGCACCACCTTCCATATAGCCTAGCCCTACAGCCTAAAGACTGGCTTCGACGCAATCCCAGCTTCGAAAAAGATGAGAGTGTCAGCTGTGACTTGAACATGGTTTGCAGAAGAAATCGTTTCAGATTTCTTGGCGTTCAATCACATTGATGTGGATCACATGCATGCATATGATTTGTGGAGTACTGGCTTGGAAAAGGATAGTTTCCTTTTGAAGTCCCACCCAACCCACCGCTTAGGTGGTGCCAGGGGACCACGGCTTGCGAACAGCGGTTCCTATGCCAGGGGGGCATTGAGATGTCTGCGTACTTGCAGGGAAATTTCGTTCCGAAAGAGTTTGTTTGGACTGCTGGTCATTTGACCTTTGGGACCTACGAAATTTACAATGCGGTGGCCTGGACTTACAAATGTTCCAGGTGGTTGGATCAACCGCTGAATGGCGCAAAACACAACCACCTTGTTGAAAAAACATGTGAAACTGATTCAATTTTTCCGGCATTTCATTCAGTGATGCAGTGGGTTCATTTGGCTGCATGTTTAATGTTCAGTTTGCTGTCACATGTCGTTTGTTTGACGCGCGTTCGACGATTGCGAAGCTGGCACAATTTCTTGAGACCTCAGCAACTCTCCCAACACAGTGTGAAGTGTAGTCGCTTTTGACATGAGTTGCATCTGTGACCGGGAAATCAGGTGAACGAGATTTGTCAAGTAAAACCCAAAATTATTTCCATAAAATTGTGCTCCTCAAAAATGCATGTTCCAATGTGCAACAACATGAAGTGAATGCCCATGACTCACAGCCGTATGAGCATTACTGAGCGCCGGAACATCAATTGTGTGTTCACCTGCATGTGGACCTTATCATGGTTCCAACTTAAACCCTGACCCACCCAACCGAACCCACCCCATGGTAAAACCGTGACGTGGAAATGAGCAACGCATCATGTTGGCATGTTTGCCTGTAATTCGTTTACGTTGAATGAAAACAAAAACTTGCAAATATTTCCATCCTTTAAACCACAATAAAATATCACGTGTATGAATGTTTTTTCAATTTTGCAACGGTGTTGGTGCAACATTTTGGACACAGGGGACAAACCCTTTCAAACTTGACACATTGAGCACTTTAATTTTTTTGCCATTTGTTGCTATACCATTGTGGATTTTTCCTTTTTTATACAACCACATTTTGGATGTCTATTGGCTCAAGGTTTGAAATTTGTTCTGTTTTCCAAACCATTAATAAATTTTGTTACCGTTGAACGTTGGAGTGCAAATAAAATAATAGCGTTTTCCTGGCCCGACATTTTCACGTGCAATGGCACATGGCAGTTTTTGGCATTTTGTTGCAAATTTTGCATCTGCGAATATGTTCGTTTCATCCGAGACGTATTGAATTTGTTGACCTGTATGTTTTCACCTTTGTTAGAATCAATCATGGCATGAAATGTACAGTAAAACAATTACAAAATTTTGACGCACAAGGACGATTTGCACGGGCGCTTGTAGATCTGAATGGTGTCCGATGCGACATGGTGGTCACATCAGCTGCTGCGTTTGATTTTGCGCGCAAACTTTGTGATGAATATGATCGACGAAAAAAGGACCTTTTTGCATTCCATGTGCATGACACCATTGGGAAAATGAACGCCCTGCTTGATTGCAAATGTGCTGCTAGGAAGAAAAAACTATGAACCTTCCCAAAGAGGAAAGACAAACAAAAACAAAAAACGACAACGAAAATGGCATTAGCCAGCACCTCAGAGTGGATCCGTTGAAACCTTGAATTTCAAACGAAAACATATGCACTGATGGCCGGAATGGGTCAGGTCGAAAAGTGACCCAGATTGACTATGCAAAACATGAAGACACCGTGAAAGAACTTGACCGACAAGAGAAAGAACAAGAATATGAACGTCGCCAGACTGCAAAAATATGATAGTTCTTCCTTCCTGATCTTCAATTGCACGCAATCATTCCTGCTGGTTGCTGTTGAATTGAGGCAAAAAACGTGAAGCGGCCCAATGGTGTACGTTAGACCATGAACACGGGCCCAACTGCCGGCGACCACCTACTGGTTGTTCCCAGGATCATGCAAGAGAATGGCAGAATCTTGGCATGTGAAAAAATGTTGCTTAGGTAAATCGAATTGTCATGCACAAATCCCGACAAAACCAAGCAGAGAAGTGACAAATGACAATACAGCAAATTTGATATTGCGAAGGTCACAACGGAAACAAAAAAAAACAATTTGCGCAATTAATCAGTCAGCAACCCCGAAAGGATGAGTGTCGGACACCTTGTTTTTGAATCACAGCTCAATGTACATTCAATTCACCTTACATGTTGTCCCTTCTGCACTTGTGGGCTTGAGGAATTTCGGTATTTTTTTGGTTAATCGATGTTCATTGTATTAATTTTGGAATTTAGAATCCAACTCGGAGGCCACTTTTGGCTGAGGATCTACGAACGGAGCACCGAGGAGAAAATTGCAGCAGCGGAGCGCTTCCGCCAGGAAGGGAACGAGGCCTACCGCCACTTGGCAGAACATTTAAATGATGAAGAACAACATTTAAACGCTGCAGGAATACTTAGAGTTCCATCCCACCAATGGCAGGGTTGGCAAAAATGGCAGTTGTTGGATTGAAGGGGCCAAACATAGTGACTGCAAGATGCGACGCATGCACAAAGTCCTATTTAGATGGTCTCCTTGTAGAAGTAGAGTTTTCACTTCAAACGTGCAAACACGTCAGTGGTTTCATCGTGTAACATTTGAGGAAAACGGAATTATGGTCTTGCTGCAGTTCACTATCGCAAAGCATTGTTGCACTTTGACTACACCTTTGCAGAAACAGAGGACTGCTCCTAAAAATCAGACCTTGATGATTTAGTCTCCAAAATCTGGGTTCTTGCTGGTTTCAAACACCCCTCTACAGCATGCGTTCGTCCGTCCCGTCCGTGGATCCTGGGCATAGATGCGAGAGTTGGTTCGCTCCATTTCCCAGGAGTTGGAGCGCCAGGTGGATGCTTCAAAATTGCCGTGTTTGTTGAACTTGGCCGCCTGCAAGTGCCAACAGGAGGGAAGAGAGACACTCAAAGGCAAACACAAACACACACACACACTATCTAACCAGAGATCAAGGAAAACCAAGAAGGGCACCAAGGTGATAAAAATTGATAGAAAATTGATGGATAAATTCAAAAAAAATCAAACATTGTTTCACGCCCGCCGTTCACACTTGAACTTTTTGTGGCAGCATTTGTTCTGCTGCGGCTGCTTTTGCAGGAAGATTGGGATGAGGTTCTGACACAATGCCGGCAAGCGCTTGAAATAAATCCTCGTGTTGCTTGTCTCATTAATCCTTCATCCAATCTTTGATGTCCAGAGATTGCTACATATTGCAAATATATTGTATATATTGTATATATTGTATATATTGTATATATTGTATATATTGTATATATTGTATATATTGTATATATTGTATATATTGTATATATTGCATATATTGTATATATCGTATATATCGTATATATCGTATATATCGTATATTGTATATATTATATATCATATATATCGTATATATCGTATATATATATATTGTATATATATATATATTGTGTATATATTGTATATAATTATATGTATTATATATTGTATATATTGTATACAATGTATATATTGTATATAATGTATATATTGTATATATTGTATATATTGTATATATTGTATATATTGTATATATTGTATATATTGTATATATTATGTATATTGTATATATTGTATATATTGTATATATTGCATATATTGTATATATTGTATATATTGTATATATTGATATATTGTATATATATATTTATTTGTATATATATTGTATATATATACATACACTGTATTTATATATATACATTGTATATATATACAATATATATATTGTATATATATATATATTGTATATATTGTATATATATATATTGTATATATATTGTATATATATTGTATATATATTGTATATATATATTGTATATATATTGTATATATATTGTATATATATTATTGGTTATATATAGTTGTATATAATTGTATATATATTGTAATATATATTGTATATATATTGTATATATATTTCGTATAATATATTGTATAATATTATTGTAATATTAGGTTTATATTGTATATATATTAGTATACTATATATATTGGTTATATATATATGTATTGTATAATATATATTGTATATATATATATTTAATATATAGTAATATATTGTATATATATATATTGTTAAATATATTGTAATATATATTGTATATATATTGTATATATAGTATTGTATATAATATTGTACTATATAGATTGTCTATGTATATTGTATATAAGTGTTGTATATATATATGTATATATATGTATAATGTATAATAATATGTAATATATATTGTATATATATTTGTTATATATATATTGTATATATATTGTATATATATATATATTGTAATATATAATGTATATATATATTGTATATATATATTATTGTAATTAATATCTATATATTGTATTATAATATATATTGTATATATAAATATTGTATATATATATTTGTTATAATATATATATTGTAATATATATTTGTATATATAATGTATATATATTGTATATATATATTGTATATATATTTATATATCTTGTATGTATATTGGTATTATGTTTGTATTATATATTGTATATTATTGTTATTGTATATATATTGTATATATAATTGTATATATATTGTATATTATATTATATTGTATATATATTGTATATATATTGTATAAGTATATTGTATATATAATTGTATATATATATAATATTGTATATATATATTGTATATATACTATATATTATTGTATATTATTGTAATATATAATATATATATTGTGTATATATATATATATTGTATATTATATTGTATATTAATTGGTAGAGTATTGTGTATAATATGTGTATATATGTATATAATTGTATTATATATTGTATTATATATTATATATGTATATTAATATATATATATATATATATTGTATATATATATATTGTATATATATATATATATTGTATATATATATATATTGTATATATATTGCGAATAGAGTGTAGGCTTCGGAACACTGTACACTCACACATAATGCAGCCCTCAAGGATCCAACGCCAAGGGGTGCGTCAACTTGCCCCTTTGGCTCAAGACCACTGCAGCACCGGAAGAAAGTATCGCTATGCTGAAGCCGCGACTCGTGTGCCGTCATCACTGAAGACAACTACTTCAAGACCAAACATCAGTACATAATCGGGGAGATAACCTCCGATTCACAGGTTATCAGCCGTAGGACTCCTACGGAGCCTACGAGCGGGTAGCCGCGGGCCTTACAGATGACTGAACAGGATAGCAGCGATAATGCATTTTCTTTCTCTGGACATGCCGTTGCACCAGCTGCCGGCACGCAGTCAAATTCTTCACAGAGTATCGACACTGGTGGAAGCGATGCCTCAGAACTGAGAACGAGCCAACCCAGGCGACCTCTGGTTGCTCCTAGAGGGAGACAAATTTCGACAATGCAAGCAATTGAAGATAGGGACAGCACACCTGGAAAGAGAAGATCATCTGCACGACAATTGTCGCCTCCGATGACTCCAAGGACTAAGGCAAAGACTACGTCGTCGAATCCGCCTTCACCGATTCAGGACGCTACTCCATCAGGGACAGGATCTTATCAGCAAGTGAACGCCCCATCAAGTGGTAGCGACATCTTCACTGCCTATCAGAGCGAGTTAGCTGAATACAAAGCATCACTGGAAAAGGCTACTGAAGAAGAATCCGTACTTCAGGCAAGATTAACTGAGACGACAGCATACGCCTATCAACAATTTAATTTCCTGGAAAGCACCACTCATCAAGAGATGATGTCGATGACCGAACAACTCCAGATGCTGAACTTCGAGTTACAGGCTGCACAACAAGAAGATGAAGGTGCGACCTACAGGATCGAAGAGTTGGAAAGGTATCAGACTATGTCAAATGAAGCTGCATCTCATTTGGAATTCAAATATTCACGACTACGTTCGGAATTCGATGAACAAATGGGACAAGCGAGCGCAATTATGGTACATGTGGGCGCTGATGCGAATGCTCACATCAGTCAGCTCAGACTGGAACTGGAAAACGCAGAGATGAATGCCAAGCAAGAAGCTCTAGCGGTCGGCTACGCCAATGATCAAACATGTGCTTTACAGATCGAGATGCTCGAGGTTGCCAATCAAAACCAGACAATGAAGCACACCATGTCCATGAACGTTAGACGACTGGAAACTGAGCTCGATGCTGCTGACATGAAGAGGGACGAGATCATGAAGGAGTTCCGTAGTAACATAAGATCTGAACATGACCGCTATGCAGAGTGTGAGCATCACTTAGCTTTGGAAGAATCACAACTTCATCCCCGTCTGGTGGTCCTGGCTGAAAAGGGGGGAGCTCTACCTCAAAAATTTAGCCAGCTGCAACTGTTACCTGACACTTGTACCCATGGTTTTCAGCCAAGCCCCAGATAGCATCATTTCTGAGAAATAGAGTTTCAGGATGCAGTTGCGCATGTGTTCATGTTACCTTGGTTCCACACTTTTCAGCCACAGCTCTACTCGATTCCTTATATTTCTATGCTGACCTCAGATCCATAGTTTTCATCCAACAACATAGGGGTTGGGGCACAAGGGCTAAAAACCTAGGGCTGGAGCGCCTGGTTTTAGCCCACAGATGGCTTTGGCCTGTACTCCAAAAACGTTACACATGGGTTTTCAGGACCTGGTGAAAAACCCTCAAGCGCCAGTATACATCCAATAAGAGTTTTTTTTGAAGAATTTTGCCAAACGTCAAACTCAGGGGCTTCAGCCAAAGTTGGATTTTCAACATGAGAGTTAGTGAAAGGCTGAGGTCACTGGTTTTTATCCAGAAACTTTTTTTTCCAAAGAATTCAGCAGCTATCCAGGGGAACTTCAGTGCACAGGTTTTCATCTACAATATAATTTTGGTTACGGGAACTTGAAGTGCTTGCACAGGATGAAAACCAGGGGCCTGAGTTTCATGAACATGACATAGCACAAGGTGAAAACCCAGGGCCTGAGTTTCATGAGTTCCACTCTGGAATGCCAGAAATGTCAGGCACTGGTTTTCGTTTTTAGCAGTTTGCACCTCAGACACCATTTTTATTGAAGGATTCTAGCCACCATTTGGGGCTAAAAACCCCGGAGCCTGTCTAAAATGCTGCACCAACGGAGATCAACAACATTGGGACAACAGACACATCAACCAAGAGATGAATCCCAAGTTTCCAGCCATTGCGCAATAAATCCTGGGGCCTGCATCTCAGGCGCCTGTGGTTTCAGCCACTTGAAACATGTAAGTTGTAAGATGCAAGGTAACCTCACATCCCCTAGTTTTCAGCCACGGGAACATGCTAGTACTTTTCCTACTTTGGCTATATTTTTGGGGTTGGGGTCATGTTTCCAGCCCATGGCTTTCAGTCTTGGTACCTACCTTTTCAGCCAGAAAATTGGCTGGAATGGGGGCTGTAGACCCTAAGAGTTCGAACCAACGGGGATCAACTTCGATTGCAGGTGATCCACAATGAAAACTTACAATCTCGACTAGCGATTTCTGAGAACAAGGTTTCTGAAGAATCTCTAGCTGAATCGGGTGGCATGCGGGACATGAGGATAATGGGACTACGTTCTGAACTACACATGAAACAAAGTCTTTTAGATCGAATGCAACAACAACTGACTGAATCGAAGAATCAGTACCATGAACTTTCCTGTCAGCAAGCCAGAAGATCCTCGCCAAGCAGATCACCGCATGGAGGACCACTATACGAGATGTATATGCAGGCCGTGCGTGAGCGTGACAGCTTGAAGGAATCCAAGGCCGAAGTTGACAAGTTGTACTTGCAAAACAGAACTGAACTCATTGACACTGAGAACCTGCTCAAAACCTTTCAACAACATTTTGATGAAACTGGTAAGAAGTATCAAGATGCTCTGAACAAGATCGATCACATGAGTAGCAATCCGAATGTGACGAGTAACTTGTTCGACAATTTGCACAATGAAATCAACGACAGGGATACAGCCATTGCTCGCCTTCATACTGAACTTGAAGCTCAAAAGGACTCTCTTGAGCGTGCTCACAGGGATGCAGGTAAGTCCATCAAGATGTTGAACGACAGAAGACTCGTGATCAAAGGTGCGACCGACTATTCCATTCCTGAAAGCCACTTGACCGAGATGCATCAATTGGCTAATGAGCGTTTTGCTGA